AGCTCTACCCCGGCGCCGGCCCGTGCGGGCGCGGGTTGCAGGGGGTGTCGCTGACGGCGCCCCCCGTCTCCCAGGGACTCGCCTTGCCCGGCCGGCCGGGGCCACCTCTCCCCCATTGCCCCTCGCCAGCCGGCCCCTGGGTGCTGGCGCCCTCCGCGCAGCCGGGCAGGGTCTCGCCGGCGGGGGACGGACCTTGCACATCACCCCGTTTAAGCGATCTTCAGAAACCAGCCCGAACCCGTAACAGAACAGATGTCCCGTGCACATAAACCAGTGTGAGATAAACCTGGTTGAATGCAGTGTCAGACTTAACGGATTTGGCTCAAACTGGTTTATACAACGTCTGTCCCAGACCCGCAGGACTAAGTTCAAGGAGTGAGGCCTTTCCCCCGTCCATGAAACCAGCAGGCCCAGAGCCCTGTCCCCTGGCCTCCAGGCTGGCTCATGTTTTGCTGGGGAGACTCCCTTGTGAACCTAACCCGAACTCAAGCCCCTGGTGCTGCACAGAGTAATAAGCCCCATTGCTTCTCAGTCCTATGCCCTGACTCTAACGTGGCAGGGGGGTAGCACACTCTCTTGTACTTTGGACACTACCTCAATCCCTACACATTTCATGTGAAAAAGCAGCATAAATGTATCGGGGCTGTAGGCTGTAGCTGTGTTGGTCTAAGGATGAAGGAAGACAAGAGTCTTTGGGTAAATGTCAAATCTTTTATTAGAGCAACTAAATAGTTGAAAAAATTGTTCTTCACAAGCTTTCAGGTACAAACATCCTTCTTTAGACTCTCCCTCTTCCTGAAGGAGGGTGTTTGCACCCAAAAGCTTGCAAAGAACATTTTTTCCAACTATTTAGTTCCAACTATCTAATAAAAAATATCACATCTCCCCAAAGAACCTGGTCTGCAACAATATATGGAATTAAGCTGCACTGTTATCCCTCCCCTCTGGGAGGGAGGGGTTGTAGGCCACAATGTCCCCTGGGGAGAAAGATGGAGTAGGGGCAGTAGGGGATGAAGTGCCCCAGGCAGTGCCATAACAAGGGGTGGGGAAGGGGAGGGTGAGCAGGGCGACCGCCCCAGGTGCCAAAGCAAAGGGGCACAGACAGGTGCTGCCCATCTGGGGCAGGGCTCAGGACAGAGCCTCAAGTGGCTCATTTGGTGGGGTGCAGGGGTGAGGGGAGGGCAGCTCCCACCACTGCGTGCACTCCCAGGCAAGCATGGTTGGGGCATGTGCCCCCTGGATCTGTGCACGGGGCAAAGGCAGGCTGCTACTGCTGCAGGCTTTGCCCCAGGCACCAAACTTCCTTGCCACAGTACTGGCCCCAGAGCTGTGGCAGAAGTACAGGTGATGCTAGGACAGGGGCGGGCAATTATTTTGGGCAGAGGGCCGCTTACTGAGTTTTGGCAAGCCCAGGGCAGATTAATATTAATTTTCTAAATTTTTTAGGGATCCCACAGGCTGGATAGAATGGCCTGGCAGGCTGCATCCAGCCCCTGGGCCCCATTTTGCCCACCCCTGTGCTAGGAGATCAGCATGGTTATAGAGATGGCCCCACTGTGCCTGCCACAAACAGGCATATGCACCATCCCAGAACCTCTGAAGGACCCATTGAGTCTCTCCCTCTGAACTTTTCTGCAGGATCAGGTGATCGATTATTCCCTGTTGTACCTCTCCAGCAGCTTTTATGTGCTCCATGGCATTTGCCATTCACTCCTCCCCGTTCAGTAGCATCTGATCATTTTAATGTGCTTGTTCTCCTGTCCTCTACCAGATAATAATTAAGACTAATATATGAAACCGTGCCTTGTTGATCCATGCAGTCCCCTACTATTCTATTCTAATCTATACAGATTTTATAATACGCTTCTCAGCAGAGAAGCTGACTGCTTATGCATGAAGTAATGTAACTAATATCTGTCATGTGTTTGTTCTCTCATCTTCTTCCTGGGAAGAGAAGTATTTGTTAGGGAAATGCTTTGCTTTACTTTCTATATATCACATTGCTTTGTGTTCATATGAGAAAAAGCAGCTTGGAAAAGCATGCCTTGCACTGGAAGTAGAATGTGGTCTAGTTTGTGATGGTCCTTAGTTATGGTGGAAGTTAATTCTACAGTCTCAGCCTTGTCCCCAGCAAAACCATCTCCCACACAGAAGAACTTTACCCTTTTGTAGGAAGTTCCGACTGTGCCGGAGGACTGACGTTATTGGCCACAGGCTTCATCCCAGAGCTTTAGGTGATATTTTAGATATCCTGGACAGGTCGTGTAAATGAGGAGACAGGTCCAAGACCTTGAATTTGATTTGATATTCTGTGGCAGGAGTGTATATCCTGCAGTTCTCCATGGCACTCCCAACAGCCTGCTATAATTTTCTTTATTAACCCACTTTATTAAATTTAAAAAGTTTTAAAAAGCAAAATAGCAACTAGTTCCATGTCCTTACTGCAGGGTGCTAATCTACACATGCATTTGTGCCTGCTTGTGCAGTCCAATTTCCCACTTGCAAATGTACCAAGGGCTTACATCAGGGGCAGGCAATTATTTCAGGTGGAGGGCCACTTACTGAGTTTTGGCAAGCCATTAAGGGCCACATGACAGGCAGCCAGGGGCAGATAAGTATTAATTTTCTACATTTTTTAGGGGTCCGTGGGCCAGATAGAATGGCCTAGCAGGCCGCATCGGGCCCATGAGCTGCATTTTGCCCACCCCTGGCTTGCATCCATCCAGTCACAGCAGATTCCACCAGGATCAGCCCTCCAGTGGAAAATAGAAGTGGTCTTCAATAAAGTTTAACTTGTGCACTCCTGTTCTAAGGAAACCCAGAGGGGAGGACAGCTTTGGGTACTTTTAAGACATCCTACAGTGTTCTGTACCTGCTGGAGTTTCCTAAGCACTGATGGCTTCCTGTCCAAATCTATTGCACTTCTGTAGTGTAGCTCAGTATTTCTCAACCTATGGGTCGTGGCCCAAAAGTGGATCGCAAGAGTTTATAAAAGGGTCGCAAACAAACTTTAAAAACAGAAAAGCGTGGGAAACCTTGGGTTTTCCCTTGTAGGCTGGCAGAGCTCCAGCCTGCCAGGGACAACTTGGGCTCCCCCCCCACCCCACACACTGGGGAGCTGGGGCCTGGGGACAGGGGGAAGTAGGTCAGGAGTGAGGTGTACTTGGTCAGGACTGGCCATTTATGTTTACAAATGGGTCCTTGTACAAGAAAGGTTGAGAACCACTCGCCTAGCTAAGAAGCAATAAAGCAACAAACAAATAACTGAGACCAAGTCATTGTTTGCCAAGATGGGACAGACTCCTTACTATCCAGAGAGGACAGAAAGCATAACTCATAGATGTTCCAACATGAGGATCTTAGGATCACTCCTACGGACTGAATTGACCTGTTGTGCCTTTCACCAACAGAGTTGTTGGTTGTAGCCGCGTTGGTCTAAGGACACGGGCAGACAAGGTTCTTTGGGTAGATGTGATATCTTTTATTAGACCAACTAAATAGTTGGGAATGCAGGCTTTCAGGCACAAATGCCCTTCTTCAGGCATAGGGAGACTCTGCTGGTGTTATATGTTCTCCAGGATAGAAAAGAAGCTAATTTACAAGGTGCAGATCTGTGAAAATGCAAATGAGTTGAGTGGAAGTTTGGAAGACCATGGGTAGAGATGAGGGGGAGGGAGAGAAATGTGTGAAGGAATGCAAGTGGTCAGCCGGAGGCAGGTTACCTGGAGTATCAGATATCCTCAAACAATTGTAACCCATACTAGAAGAAGACCCAGTTCTTAAATAAATATTTCCAGAACCACCCATCCTAGCCTTTAAATAAGCACCAACCCTTGCAAACCTCATCACCACAAGCAAACTTCCTGTGACCCAAACCACACTAAATGGATCCAGACCATGCCAGGACAAGAAATGTAAAACCTTCCAACATATCTCCACCAGTCCCACAATAACTACACCCCACAACAGAACCATCACCATTCCTGGATCTTTCACCTGTACCTCCTGAAATGTAATATATCTCATCTAGTGCGCCAAATGCCCTGATGGAAAATACGTAGGAGAAACCAAACAACATCTGAGCACCAGAATGAACGCACACCAGAAATCTATCAAAGACAAAAATATCCAATTACCTGTGGGTGCACACTTCTCACAAGACAATCACACTCACTCCCTCTCCGATCTCTCAGTTCTAATCCTCAAAGGGAATTTACAAAACACCTTTCATAGATGGGCCTATGAACTTCACTTCATAAATCTACTGGATACAAAAAAAATCATGGACTTAATATAGACATTGAATTCATGACACATTACAACCTTCCTGACAGCTGGTACATCAGGTAATCTGCCTCCAGCTGACCACTTGCATTCCTTCACATATATCCATCTCTTTCGCCCCCCTCCCCTCCTATCTCTACCCATTGTCTTCCAAATTTCCACTCATTTGCATTTCACAGACCTGCATGTTGTAAATTAGCTTCTTTTTTACCTTGGAGAACACAACACCAGCACTCTCCCTATGCCTGACAAAGAGTGTTTGTGCCCAAAAGCTTTCAAAGAACTTTCCCCCAACTATTTAGATAATAAAAGATACCACATCTACCCAAAGAACCTTGCCTGCCTTTCACCAACAGAGCCTATTGTGGTTGCAAACACTTCAGAATGATTTCCTCAGCCCAACAGCCTTACCCCCTTTATTGCTTGCACTTGAGTCTATGTCATCTGTCTTGTTGCTCTAGCGGAGGCGTGTAGATGTTGAAGAGCTGGAAAGAGAGAAATGATTGTAGGACTCCACAAGCAAGAGGTCTAGTGATGATGGTGCAGTCTCCCATCACTAATCACTGGGTGCATTTCTTCCAGGAAAAACTCAAGCCACTTTAGCAGATTACCCCAATAGATTGCCACCTTGGTCAAATGAGACAATTGTATCTCATGATCGGTAATGTCAAATGTTGCCAAGGCTGCCAGGAGGACAAAGACAGATATCTGCTGTAAGGCAATGGACAGCAAGATATCAGCCTTCAGTGCCATTTAAGGGGTTTCATTTCTGTGTGCTGACCCAAATCCAGATCGTGCCAGGTCTAGAATACTAGTTTTAGTTAGATGAGCTTGCATGGGGCCTTTGACTAGCTTCTCTGTGAGCTTGCAAAGGAATGGGAAGATTGACTCCAGGCAGAATGGCTAAAACTGCCGTGTGCAGAGTGGGTTTCTTTAGTGTTGGTGGGATTATTTCATGTTTGAAGGAGGAGAGGAACTTCCTTCTCTGAATGATGTTAACTACTTCAATCACAAGTGGCACCAGTTGCTTCTGACTCTTTTCTCTAAGTCAGGGAGGGCATGGGTCAGATTTGCAAATCTTGAGTCAAGACTCCATTAGCATGCCAGGACTTCTTGCTGAGTGAATGTACGGAACCCTGGAAAAGTTCGATGCTAGGTGCAAGCATGGTGAACCAATACTGTTTGGCTCTTCCTAATGGTGAAGGGTCATTCCCACAAAGCCAGGCGATGGTGAACTGCAGATACTCAGGAATTATGAAGCCACTTACCACCTGGGTTCCTTGCAGTGGGATTTGGCAGCTTCACTGGAGTGTATAGGAACATTCTCTTAGCTCGCAATACAGTCTCAGCACAGGCTTGAAGAAATTAATTGTACTATATACTGTCTATTAGTTTTTCTTCTCTACCATCAGCCCTCAGATTTCCTCTTCTTTTTCTTCATTTATTGCAAGGTATCAGAAAATCACGGAGAGCTGTGTGAACAGTGTGG